AATTTTCCTGGCTTTCTAACTACGCGACAAGAGCTGTTACAAATTCATCCAAGCTAGTTGTTAACTTTCACAGGAGAACGAATCTTATACTGTGTGTGAAATTGATGATATTCTGTTCAGAATACAAATGTTATACAATACATCATTTGATATATGAAAACCTTGACTTTCTATTGTTATAAGTAATATATAATAAAACGTAAGAGAGAACTATCAACGAATTGTGAAAGAGAGGATGTAACAGGTGGGTGTGGCAGAAGGGGTCTGATTTTCTATTTGATAGCACTGTAACCAAATAAAATTGATGACTAAAACTTATGGTTTCTCTGAGCAATAAGGATTTTATAGAGAGTAATTTATGCTTAATTCCATACTTTTTCAAGGGGTGGTGGATAAAATAAAGATGATCACATGCTAAGAAAAAGTGTATCACATGGTGGAAATTCAGGTGCTTTTTTATATTGCCTTGTAGAATTAAGAACTTAAAACTTATATACTATTAAAATATGGATTATTAGCTAAGATTTTATGCTATTCTAATTGATATAACATAAATAAAAAGAGGTTTAATAAAATTTTGAATGTAAAACACTAAAACCTTGTGTCATGCACAGTAAAGGGTACCCAGGGGGATAGGGTTATGGGTGAGGTGACACATAGTACATGAGGTTAAAGGATCAAATGGTTGTCAAGACAAAGTATGTAGTATCACCTTAATATTTCGATTAAATAATGGAAAAAGCCATTTGGGAAGAAGGCTGGATAGGGCTGGGGAGTCCAAAATCTTCAGATGTTTAAGATAACTAAAAGAAAATGAAAAAGTTGACTGAACTAAACAAACAACAGGAGATAAAGCTAAACCTAAGTAAAAAACAAGTCAAAGCAAGATATGGTGAACATGTTTGGTAAAGTGGGTATAAACTCCTTGTGATGCACACCCCAGGCAACTGTGGACATTAAACCCCAATAAGCTGGGAAAAGTCTTGTGTAGAATGTTGGGTTGAGAATGCCTCAATAAAGATAGCCAAAGAGGAAGATGCAGAGGTGGACTCACATGAAGAAACTGTAGAAGACGAAATCTTGGATAGGTCAGCCAATCTAGGCTAGCAACATCATGCAAGTAGAGGATCGAAATATAGCCAGAATTCTGAGTAACAGAGGAAGTGAGGGAAAGTCATACATGTAAAATCCCATCCAAGTAGGACTGATTACACCTACCACCAAAGCCTGAGAATGAGATAGTGGAGACTCCAAAGCTTGTAGTTGAGTATCAATGAGTGGCAAAAGCTATCATTAGAGACCCAAAGTGAGAAAAAAAATCAATCGGAAAACCACATGATCCAGTTGTTCAGGAGAAAATGAGGACTGAGATTGACAATCTGCTATGAAATCCATCACCCAAGGAAAATGGCAAGTCAGGAGGCTGACATGATTGGAACAGGCCGAATAGAAAAAGAGCCAAACTTAAGACACCACTGGAATTGATGAAATATCTCATGAGAATATTCCCCTGCAAAAGATCTAGACTTTGCACTCTTTCCTGTTGGACAGCAAGAAGTTCTAAATTAGTGATGCATTCATTCTCTGGAATTCCTGACCTTGAAGATATACACTTTATCCCCAAAGTGAAGTATCTGTGAAGAAAAACTATGGACAGAGGGGCAGTATACATTTATATATATATATATATATATATATATATATATATACACACACACACACACACACACA